TGTTGTCTCTTCAATTGCCTTCACTATCAGGGCAGCCTGTAAGATGGTACAGAAGACACCGAGATCACTTCTTACCTTAGGGGGGCAGGTGTATCTAGTTCTGGAAGAATGCAGGACATGTTTCAAGGCAACGTTATAAAAGCCTTGTTTCCCCATCTTGGACAGAACAAGATCTGTAAGAGAAATGCTGGGAAAAGAAAAGAGGAAGCTAAAAGATAAGTGATCTGTCTCTTCCTTCCCTGTCTCACTCCTTAGAGAATTAAGCATAAGCGTTCTAGGTGATAGTGATTCCATTTCTACATTTATCCATTCATTTTTGACAAACACCAATGGGTGCTCACCGGGTCCAAGATCCTGTGGTTCAGAGCTCTCAGGGACCCCAGAGCTGACCACGCATGTAAATCCCAGACAGCATACACAAAATGCCTGAGTTTCCAGAGCTGTTATAACCAAGTGTGGCAAGCTGGACTGGCTGGCTTGAACAGTAACAGTACATTTCCCTACCATGGCAGAGACCATAAATCTGAGATCGAGATGTCAGTAGGATTGGTTGCTTTATTGGACCTACAGATGACCACCCTCTTCTGTCTTCACATACCGGTCTCTGTGCTTGATCCCAGTCTCCTGTTCTTGTAAAGATCAGGGCCCTCTCATGTGACCTCATTTTACCCTTCCTGATCTCTTCAAAAGCTCTGTCTCCAAAGATGGTTGCATCGAGGGGCAGGAGGTGGAAATTCAACATATGCAACGGAAGGTGGTGGAGGCACAAATTCAGTGCTTGGAATTCTCCAACTCACTTTCAGAAGGGTGCTGGGGGCGGTAGAGAGTATTTATTTTATTCAAGTTGTTTTTTTCTAGTTTTATTTAGTAAATAATTGGATGCTCTTCTGCCAAATTGAAGATGGGTTCACAAGACCCAGATCATGAGAATTTTCCATTCGCTCAGGATTCTGTTGTTTGATCAAGATAGTGATTTTTCAGTTTTTTGGCACTTGGCCTTGTTAACCAGCCCTGACTGTTTTGTTTACCAAGTCCCTAGTTACTGCTTAGAGTTGACGTAGAACGTCTTGCTCTGCAAAAGCGCACACATTGTACAAGCTCTAAAAGAGGAAAATAGCACAATCCTTCGTGGCTTCAGGCCGAGGTTTATTATAAGGGAGGATTTCAAGGGTATTAGAAAGGCAATGGGTGATGCTGAATCATTTGCTCATAAGGGACATAGATAAATTGCCTGGACACGGATAAGAGGAAGCTGTGACTTGGGCTGAAGGGGAACAATGGCACATTAAGGTTGTTCCTTGTTCTTATCAACAGGGATCTAAGGGCTTGGTAAAAGCACTTCTGTCTCCATGGAGGCTCTTCTCATTTCTGCTGTCCGCCCTGACCTACATGGGCCTATGTGAAGTGATGAAAGATAATGCAAAATTCCATTTCAGTGCCAACTGTGTGATTACCACAGAGCAGTAACAAAACAGACCTTTGAATTGTGCATGAAACACTCAAGTGGAGTTCTCAATAACATACCTTATGGATTTCACATTTCATAATGTTATTTTCCATCGGTGAAGAATAATTTTTCACAGAGCATGCATGGGATACTTGAATTCTCTGAGATAGTATAAGGCATCTTGTGTAACTGCCTTGTCTTAGTAGGTAGAAAACCTGGGGCTAACAGGTCTGCATACCTCTCTCAAGGTTGTCTAGTGCATTACTGGAGGAACTAAATCCAACTGGTTTTAATTAGCTCTGGCTGCTGTACAGAAGTACTATAAGCTGGAAGACTTAAGCTACAGAAATGTATTTCTCAGTGTTCTAGGGGCAAGAAATCTGGGCTCAGGGTATCAGCATGGTCAAGTTTTCATAAGGATCTGGTATGGCTTGTGTCTGCATGTCCCTCCCAAAGCCTCGTGTGCTCATAAGTGCAGCTTTTCAGAAGTGGCGGGATCTAGAGTGTGTGACTACTAAATTAGTGTACTGATTGGTTTGGCATAGTTCTGAGAGTGGATAACAGCAAGGTCCACTCTGGAAAAGTGCTAACTGCCCTAGGGGCATGTAGCCTGGATCCATTATAAGAGACAGAAAGAGAGTTGTTGTCTTAGCTTGCTGCATGCTGCTTTTGCTGCCTTCTGCCTGCCATGAACTGTTTCTCCTCTCTGATGCCCCTGTGCCAGGCCACCCTGCCTTGGAGCCAGCCAATTATGGGCTGAAACCTTCACAAACTGTGAGCCAAATAAACCTCTCCTCCTCTAACTTTGGTTGTTGGGTATTTTGTCTCAGCAATGAGAAAAGCAACTAAGACAGGATCATCTCCTTGCTGTGTCCTCACTTGGCAAAAAGGAGGGGGAGGATATCCCATCTCTTCTAAGGGCACTTATCCCATAATGAGGGCCCCAGCCTCTGGACCCAGTCACCTCCCAAGTCCCCAACTCCAGTTCCTATCCCACCAGGGAGTAGGTGTTCAATCTATGAATTTGACAGGATGCAAACATTTGGTCCATAGCACAGCCCCAAGTCTCCCTAACTCCCAGGGAGAGTCACCGAGTATTGGTGCTACACTGTACCTCAGAGGCCACTGAGCCCAAGCCTCTGGCTATAATTGATTGTCACTAGTTGTTGGTAAGGACTTTGAGGCTCAGGAGCAGAGAGCCTCTACTGGAGGTGACAGGGACCTGAAGACTGACCAGAGCCAGAAACTGGAAGCTACCTTGTATTCTCCAGGTTCCTGAGAGCCCTGCCCCAGGATTTCTCTTAGGGCTTCCTGAGTTGAAAAAGCGTGTGTGGCTTGTGGCAGTGCCTTTTTCTGGGCTCTTTGTCTTTTTTTTTTTTTTTTTTTTTTTTACAGAATAAAAAAATTAGAAACGATACAGAATATCACTAAACAAGATGATAGGAATTCAATAGTGGTTATATAGCATATTGTTGAGGGCTCTTTGTCTTCCACAGGACGGGAGCATGGTTTGGGTGCTCCTTTCTTGGTGTGTTTGCCTTCCTTTCACAAAAAGGAAGAAAGGCAGGTAGGATGGGATTAGACTCCATCAAGAAACCGGGCATGGCTGGAGTTTTACTTACATGCAGTAGACCAACCAGATGACATATTTATCAACTGGTCAATTATCGAGTAGCTTTTTAATGGGCAAGAATAAAGACAAACCAACTAGCCAAACAACAAACAAACACAAAGCCATGAAAATGAGGCCTCTTACTGTGTCCTCTCCCTAAACACTCAAAAACACACCTGAAAGTAAACAAGCATAGGCATTTTCCACCCACATCCCAGACACAGTATTCCATTTATTGCAGTCTCACTGGTGTGGCTCCTGTCCTCTTTGAAACCTCTTTGAAGACAGACTGTCACAGCAACTTCCTAGTCATTGTATCTGCAGTGCTTCGCCTGCCCAGTGCCAGGGTTAGGAATGTAAACTCACATCCAACATACTATGTCATAATACACAAGATACCATGAGAGTTCTGATTGGTTAAGATTAGACCCACCTAGGGGAAACAAGAAATAAACACAAGAGCTTAAATAAGTAGATGACGAGATGGAGTCCCATATGCAGGGGGGCCTTTGGTGGTGGCAGGCCCCCTGTGCAAATGGCCTAGGCATCTTCTCCCTGTTGCATTGCCGAACATGGTTTCTGCTATGGCTTGAAGGCATCTCCCCAGAGTTCATGTGTTGGAAGCATCACCCCCAGTTCATACGTTGGTGGTATCTGCAGATGGGGCCTGAGGGAAGCAGAGTTAGATGAGGCATAAGGGCGGGGCCCCACGATCAGATTAGTGGCTTTAACAAGGAGGAAGAGGGACCTGAGGTGACGAATCCTCATATGCTCACCGCGTGATGCCTTTATCCTGCTATGATGTGGTACAAAGGTCCTCATCTGGATATTAGGCCTCCTGGCCTCCAGGACTCTGAGATTCTTTTCTTTTCTTTTGCTTTTTCTTTTCCTTTCTTTTCTTCTCTTTTTCTCTTTACCTCTCCCCTCCCCTCCTGTCCCCTCTTCTCTTCTCTTCCCTTCCCCTCCCCTTCCCTTCCCTTCCCTCCCCTCCCCTCCCCTCTCCTCTCCTCCTCTCC